AACGTTTGCAAACATCGATAATTTTTACCTTGATGTTTCGTAGAATAACAAAGATTCGCTTGCAACAAACTGTGACTCCTTGAATCTAGACGAGTCGCAGTTGCAAGCAAATAAGCAGAAGAAAGGAAAGTTTATGGGATTTTTAACTAATTTATTCCATAAATTTTTGTTATGTTGTTGCATGTCAGGCGAGATTTCTGTTTCCGAGGTAAGTTTTCGATTCTTCTGTCTTCCTTCCATTATCAAATTTTCTAAATAAATAATCATTTCTATAATTTTGTAGCCTTACGAATTGGAAAAAAACTCGCAGATTCAAAGCAGAAACATGACCGTTATGAAAAAACCAAATATTATATTGACAAGTACAAAATTACGAAAGAAATTGGTCGTGGAAGTTTTGGGACTATTTATTTGGCTAAGACCAAATATTCTAGAAAGAAAAAGGCTTTAAAAATCGTAAAGAAGAAAGTCTCTTCTCCTAATCAGGTATTTTTTAACAAAAATTACCAATATTAAGGGGATTAAGAACAATTTCCGGAATATACACAATAATCACTAAATATATACATATTAAAAGAATAATAAGTTTCTTAATAGTATAAGAGTAATCACTGTTTTATGAATTTACACTNTTTAACAGTAAAATAAGATGATGAGACATTTATCGAACGATTAAGGGTGACGAATCCAATTTGAAGTATAAACCCAATATTTCTGGAAAACGGTCTGTCCCGCATGTGAAGAATGCAGTCTCCCATTACTTTGCCCAATTGTGGGTCTGGCCGTACCCACAATGAACTTCATAAAAAGGCCTTCTTAAAGGATATAAGAAAAATATAAAATTTATTAATATGGCGTCATTAGAATGGATTTTTCAACAATACTTTCGAGTTCAATTGTCGAGTTGCTATTGTTAAGTGGAATGTTTCGCTGCGCCGAAAAAGTTGTTTCGCGAATTTCGAGAAATAAAATGAAAAAGAAAAGGTAAATTTAATCAAAAATTGTGTTTATTTATTTTTTATATTATGTAAGAATTAATATAGTTTCTCTGTAGTAGGAGTGTTTCGCTGCGCCGAAAAAGTTGTTTCGCGAATTTCGAGAAATAAAATGAAAAAGAAAAGGTAAATTTAATCAGAAATTGTGTTTATTTATTATTTATATTACGTAAGAATTAATATAGTTTCTCTGTAGTAGGAGAGAAGATTCTGAACCGAGTGTTCAGGAGAATAAAGATTGCTCATTTCAGGTAAACCATTGATTTCTCTGTAAGAATATCGAAATTTCTCTTTGAGTAGATTAAGATAACGAAGATTTTTTGATTAATTTTAAAACGATAACGTTTGCAAACATCGATAATTTTTACCTTGATGTTTCGTAGAATGGCAAAGATTCGCCTGCAACAAAATGTGACTTCTCGAATCTAGACGAGTCGCAGTTGCAAGCAAATAAGCAGAAGAAAGGAAAGTTTATGGGATTTTTAACTAATTTATTCCATAAATTTTTGTTGTGTTGTTGCATTTCAGGCGAGATTTCTGGTTCCGAAGTAAGTTTTCGTTCCTTCTGTCTTCCTTCCATTAGCAAATTTTATAAATAAATAATCATTTTTATAATTTTGTAGACTTACGAACCGGAAAAGAAACTCGCAGATTCAAAGCAAGAACACGACCGTTTCGATAAAGCCAAATATTATATTGGCAAGTACAAAATTACTAAAGAAATTGGACGTGGAAGTTTTGGGACTATTTATTTGGCTAAGACCAAATATTCTAGAAAGAAAAAGGCTTTAAAAGTCGTAAAGAAGAAAGTCTCTTCTTCTAATCAGGTATTTTTTAACAAAAATTATCAATATTAAGGGGATTAAGAACAATTTCCGGAATATACACACTAATCACTAAATATATATATATATTAAAACAATAATAATTTTTAATAGTATATTGAGAATAAGAGTAATCAGTGTTTTATGAATTTACATTAGTAATATTTAAACAATATTTAAAATTTATATTTCGTGTGTAATCATCATTAATTTATTTATAGTTTGGTGAAATCCGGAGAGAAACAATCGTTTGGAATTGCGTGTCCGCCCATCCAAACATTGTCAGATTGATTCGATTCCTGCAAACTGACACAGCGTAAGTGTTTTTTCTCTTTTCTCGTGAGTTATTTATAATAATTTGTGCTCTGTGAAGTAATAAGTTTTATGTTTTAGCTATTGCTTTGTCTCGGATTTTGTCCAGGGAGAAACTTTGACCGAATTTGTACAAAAGAATGGCCCTATACCGGAGAGAAAAGCAAAAGTGTTTGCCGCTCAAGTGGCCTCTGCTATTATGTATATTCATAGTAATGGTAGTTATTCGCTGTAGATTTATTTGCTTGTTTAGTCCAGAAATGTGTAAAGAGTGGCAAAGTAATGTTTTTATTTTGAATAGGAATAATACACCGAGACATTAGTTCAAACAACGTTATGTTAGATGTGTACAAAGGTGCACAAGTAATTGATTTCGGTCTATCCACAGTAAGCATTATACATTGTAATATTCTTGAACTGTAGATTTTTAACGATCTCTTAACTATTTTATTATTACTTTTTTCAGTACGAACGAAATCCAAGAGATTATTGTGGAACTTTATCATTTATGTGTCCGGAAATTCTCCAGAGGAAGCCTTACGGTAAAGACTTGTACTTTCACATTTGTACTTTCACATCATTGGATCATATTGTTGGATGTATTAATGAATGTATTGTTTGTAGATTCGTACTGTGACTGGTGGGCGTTCGCCATTGTGTTATTTCAAGCGTTGGTTGGAAGAACTCCTCTAGAGATTTATGTAAAAGAAGCTTTCGATATTGATAATGTGTATTTATTGCCCCGTTACGACCGAATAAGAGGTAATGTATCAAAATTATTAATTGAATAATAACAATAGCAATATAAGATAATTAATATTAAAATGCGTTTGCAGCTGCTCTAAATGTGAAGATGTCGTATCCTCCTGCATTATCGGATGATGCCAGACATTTTATTTATGATCTATTGCAAAAGGTAAAATTATACTTAACTGTACTTAACAAATTCATATTTGTCTTTCCCCGTTTTATGCACGAAATGACATTTATTTACGAACCGAAGCATGTAATTCTCTTATGTATCTACATTCGACTTTTCTCTGTTGCCAAAAACAATGAATATATACGGCAAATTTTGTGTTTTCTCTTGTATGAAAGCATTCATTCAATTAATATCGTTAATTGTAATCATATGGTCTTTCTGTGGACTTTCATAAATCTGTTTATAATTAATTCACCGATTATATTCAATAAAATGTCGAAAACTCGTTTCATATCATTAAGTAAATTTTTAATGACGTGCTGCTAATTAGTTTAATAACATTTGTCATATCGGAAATAACACAGAGACGAAAATATAATCATTCGAATAGTAAATTTCAATTAATTACTTTTGTTTTCAATGATTTCAGGACCCGTGTAGACGTCCTCTAGAAGTAAATATAAGAGAACACGAGTATTTTCATAAAGTGCCTTGGCCCAAAATTGTATGTTATATTTTCCAATATCGCATTTGAATGTCACTTTACGAAATAAAACAACTGATTTGTTTTTGTATTTTCAGACTTAGGGTTTTCGGCAGAATAAACTGAAAATGAAAATGAAAATGAAGTTCGGATCTTTCTTGAAATCAATGTGGAAGCCGGTTAAGAGGTACGTATTTCTATGCACATTTAATCAAAGTTCGATTTAGCTGCGTCCCTTTTTCGCCTCTCAAATTAGCACTAATTCGAGTGTGGCAGTAAACCAAAATTCCTCAAACATCAGCATATACAGTGGTACCTCAGGATACGAAATTAATCCGTTCCGAAACTGAGATCGTATCATGAAAATGTCGTAAGGTGGATCATTTTTTCCCATTACATGTAAAACCAAATAATTCGTTCCAACGCGGAAAACATACTCAAATTAAATCCAAGTAATACATTAAAAAATAACTGTAGTAAGAAAAACAAATGAAAAATGCGAACTAATGTAACGTCGTATGGTGAGTTTTTGTTCGTATCGTGGAGCAAAAATATGTTCGAATTTCATGTCGTATCCTGAAAATTTCGTATGCTGGGGCG